ATTTGAGAGTCAACGAATGCGATAGTGATTAGAAAAACCAGGTGGCTGTATTTTGTCCAGCTTTCAAAGAGGGCTTTTTCGATTTTTCGTTTTTCTCCGTTCAAACTCAACAAGACTGGAAGCCGTTTTGGGGGGTGATGGCAGGTTGACATGCGCACAATGCAGCAAAGTTTCATACAGATTCATTGACAAGAACAAAAATACGACGATTTCTAGAGTGGCTGTATAATTGTGTCCAGCACTGTATAATAGTTTGAGTGAGGATGTATCCGTAAAATCATTATTTGTGAACTATGTAAGTTAAACATTAAAATGATTCGCAGCAGGTTTTCAACAAGTTTGGCGCCTTCTTTTTTATTTGCTGCAAAGTTTACATTAGCAAGCCATATAAACTTCCTCTTCGCCTTTTTTCGCTTTTAAAAGCTCGATAATCTAGCCATTTTGAGCAACTTTCTTGACAAACTATTTCGGAACTTGTTTTGAAGCTTATTCCTTCTTTTATTGCTTTTACAGCGATAATCAATCAGTTTTGGCATACGCTTGTGAATTAGTTTGGAAGTCACAGATGCAAATGTGAAGAGAGGATTTTTATCTGATACGTTGGTTGGCTAGGTACGGATTCATTTTCTTGTGAAAGAACACTCGCTAAAAATTCATAAAGCGTTCTTGGTATTGCTAACTTGATAAATAATAATATCGACCCAAAGTCATAAGAAGGGATTTTTACCGCAAAAAATTCACACGTGAGCCTATACAGAGGTTTTCGCAAAGAAATTTTATTCCAAGAGATTGACTTAACTTGACCAATACAGTTCAAATTTTGACTGGGAAGTCACAATTATTTACCACAATTAATACTCCAACTACCTAACCTTTTTCGTGCATATTCGCAACCTCCTTCTGCATCGTCCTGGCCAAACCTCTTATCCCCGGTATACAACCCGCCTATCATAAACCCTTGCCGGCTCATCCCGTTAATCGTATCATTTCGTCATAATATTGTTGTGGGATCAGCTGTGTGCTGAAGCATTGAGTATCAGATTTCGGTGCTCATTAATCCCACCCCGTAAATCATAACTTGACCTTCTAGGGCCCCTCTGCGCATGCAGCATGCGCATATGGTCAAGGGTCGTCCCAAAGCTACAAAGCTAACCGCCTTGGATCTGGCTACTGTAGCTCATTCCGCTCATTGAGCAGTCTAGCTGCTCCTTACAGCCTTATGCCTGTGTCCCAACTCTGCTCTAAAGGTCAAAAGTCCCCCATAAGCAGCGACAGCCAAGAAGGCCCTGTAATGACTTCAAGCCCCTTCAGCCTCTTATCCGAAGGGCCGCGAGCTGCTGGTCCAATTTCATTCACGTTAATGAGTACACGACTTCTCGAAAGGCAAATGCGGTCTAAGAGCCAATATAATGGCCAGTGACCTCTTGTCGGCAGCTTACTGGAAATGAAGTTTCTCCTCACAGATCGACGATCTTTGATCTTGGATGTTACATTTTATGAACCACTATCAAATTCTTTTCTCAAACTTGCCAAAGGTTCCCTCAGTTCCAAAAAACTGTGTCGTATTAAATACTGTTTGCTGACATTGCCATTTTCACACTCTTGTAGAAACTATTGTAGAATTATCATTCTCATTTTTGCTACAAATTTTTTGCTGCTTCTCTCAACTCCATCTACTTCGAATAACTTCGAACCTTCTTGTCAATTAATAAGTAAGTTGAACATATGAGCATTGTGCAAAAACCTCTCTTGGTTTGAGATTATATCATTTATGCAGCGTTCAGTTATCGAAAGGCTGGTTATGTATTCATAGAGTTCTTAGCCTGCTTTTCCTTTACTTATGTCGAGCTGGATGTAATTGAATTCTACTTTAGTTAAACATACTTACGAACTCGTAACTGCATCTATTGCTTTTTTAAGACCAATAAAGAGGCACTTCAGCTGAATTTCAAATTCCCGTGAAGACAGATTCAATAACTTGAACCCAATCTTCTGCATGCCCACCTACAAAGAACTCAAAAGAATTTCTGAATTCTTACATTGTACATATCTCCAGCCACTATTCGACTATTCTTACACTAAGAAGTTGACAAACAGTCATGAAAAACTAAAGAGTAAAGTTTGCGATCTCTAACAGGCTGTGCGTATCGAGATATAAATAGTCTAGCTTTTTTTTTTGGAAATTTTACTTAACTTCTCTTTGAGCAGGTCTTCCCTCAAGCGCAACATGAAAAGCTGCCATTTTGTGACCCAAATATATGAAACCGGAAGAACAAATAAGCAAAATTTCCGCTTTCAGCCGAATTCTCGCTCTACTGCTCATATAGGGAGATTTCGATTTCTGAGCTCACCCTTCTATTCTACACATGCTCTATGAAAAAACTAATTTTTGGCAGTGGAGCTGTTTCTTTCGGACTGCTGTTATGCTATGTATGACAACCAAACTTGACTTTTGAGGATCTATCGAGTTTTTACCCCCACTTGAAAACCCTTAAACATAAAATAACGCAGGTTTTAGAGTGTGCAAACTAGTACCAAAAAACTACTTCACTCCAAAAGGGGCAAACGAGTTTCTAACGAGAAACTGAAAGTTGTCAGTGCCAGGCATATGTGTAGTAATCTCGGAATAACCTTCGCCTAGCTTATATTCGGACCACGTAATAATCAATGCCTATGCATCTCATATGTCCCTCGTTCATAGATGTTCAACCTTTTCACCCTATGCTTTTGGCAGTCGTGGATTTTCTGAGCTAATGATTGATGCTCACTAGCCTGGTCTCCTTCACCTTCTATCGTATCTCATTTCCTGAACATATTTGTCTTCGTTGGTTGTGAGGAAGGCCACGGAGGCTGTAAAGGCGCGTTATTTCTCGCGCAGTGCTTTACTAACAATGTTCGTTGAACAGTTTCTGATGTTTCTACTCTTGCAGAGCTTTTGCAAATTTAATCTGGATATTTTGCTTGTTTGCTTGCTCCTGAACTTTTTGATTAGAATCATTTGACACCCCATAGGGTCACATTTCGCCAATTAACTATCTTGTTCTGCGCATCCTTCTACAAATGCTTGTGATAACACGACCCTCGATATTTTTTTAGCTCGTTTGCAAGCAACTGCCATTGCAAAGATTTGAGGAAACTTTAAGGCGAAGCGCATTACAAAAAAAATTTCAACACAAGATTTATCAAACTCTGAGAAATATATATTATGATTTTGTATCTAAGTCTGCTTGATCTCACTTTGTATCACCATCATATATAGTTCATTCAATAACGCAGACAATGCAAGGTTGCGGAGCGGTACTCTGTAGTTGTCACGTAACATTATAGACGACTTATTATTAGAAGCTGACGCGATTAATTTTTTATCACTTTTGTTTCCATTTTTGCTAGATCAAACCATTTGATTTTAATGACTAAATCCAAAAAATTTCACCGCTTGTGAACCGTATTAACGCATTGTATAAATTTTCCACAAAAGCATCTTGATGCTTTTTCATTTTGCGGATAGTATTGCTTTGATAATTGTTGCAAAAAAAACACTACTAAGTTAACCTTCCCAATTTTTTTGTATTCAATAACTCATTCACATATTAGGTTGGCACAAAAGTTCTTGCGTAATTCAAACAAAATTCAATAACTTTTCAAAGACTAAACCTAAGTTCACAATCTTGTGTGCTAAAATATTACAAGCCTTACGCTTCATGATGTATGTTTAAGCGTAAGATTCCGTAAGCTGGACATCAAGAACGAAGCTCTCGAATAAGGCGCTTCAAATTTTGCGATTTTGAGTTTGGTGCCAGAAAATCGCGTGCCGCTAGCTAGCCGAAAAAAATCTGTAGAATTTACTTACACAGCAAAAGTCCATACGTTGTTTTAGCAGGCTTTGATCGCGCATGGAAACGCGAAAACAAAAAATTTGTGAAAATTCTCATTTCACAGGACAAATCCCCTCATCGCACTAACTTTTCCACAGAAACACAGTTTGCAACCAGAAATTAGACATAGTGCCTATTTAGAGCCTTGCGACGTTTTCTCGATTGTAAAAAAGTGTTTTCGCCGGAAAACTGCGGACATGAGGGGATTTTTTTTAACAAAATAACTTATTTCACGAATTTTTTGTTTTTGCTTCACCGTGCAAGATCAAAGCCTTCCAAAGTTACATATGGACTTTTGCTGTGTAAGTAAATTCTACAGATTTTTTTCGGCTAGCTAGCGACACTCTGCGATTTTCTGGCACCAAACTCAAAATCGCGAAATTTGAAGCCACATATTCGAGAGCTTCGTTCTTGATTTCCAGCTCACGGAATCTTATGCTTAAACATCCATTATGAAGCGTAAGACTTCTAATATTTTTAGCATGCAAGACTGTGAATTTAGGTTAAGTCTTTGGAAAGTTATTGAATTTTGTTTGAATTACGCAAGAACTTTCGTGCCAACCTAATATTTTTAAATGATAGCCTCTTAAAGTCTTTTGCCATTTTCCCTTTCAACTTTTCTAACTTTTCTTTACATGATAAATTCACTGAGCTTATGAACTAAAACATTGTACAGAAATGCGAAATTGCGAACATATGAGGTGTGCATTATACAGTAATAAAGATGACAGGAAGCACCTTTGTTGTAAAGAGAAAACATACCAAAATTTGGAGGTCAGGGTAATGTGATTAGAGGACGATTTTCCACTCCAGTTAAAAAAACCATTTTGGGCAGATAGTTACAGGAAGCTTAATAGGCTTGATCTTCAGATCTTTTTTAAAGCCAAGCTTATGCCTGAATTCGGAGATAATTTGCTGAGTGCGGTCCTTGAAGCGACTACTACGATTAAAAAAAAGAATTTACAAAAACATCTGGATCAGATCTCTCCCTCTTCACAGGAGCATCACATTTCTCACTATACGCTTACGCCACTATCTCACGACATTCGTAAAATTTTTTGAAGGTCTTCTCTTAGATTAATTCGTTTCAGATGCTCTGAATTTATCACTAGTTTACATAACCAAATGTGGAAGTCCGCTGTTCCATGGTTAGCTGTTCTTGCCAGCTCCGTGGTGATCCTAGTCCAACGGACAACTATCACAAATTTGCAGGTATCATCTCCTTTCTGTCAATGATGTTGACAACGTGGAATTTTCAGAGGCAATTATCCAACTCAATTCGATCAAAACGCTCGACAGAAGCGCAGAATGGCTTATTTCTGCCTGTTTACGCACAGATTTCGGTAAGCCGATATCGATTGTTATTGATTAAATAGCAGATGGAAGAGATCGTGTTACAGCGGAAGGCCATGCATCGTATGTGCTTACAAAAACGATATACTATGTTGGAGCTGGAGCAAGAAATCGAGAAAACAACGAAAACTGCGCCGTCGTCACCAGTTCCGCGTAAAACGCAACGATCACGCATGCGGTCGGAACGAAAACGTAAGCAGTGTTCAAATTACCCACGATTACCCGAAAATCTCCCATATATCTCTGAAAACTCAAATCCGATTTTTGTTGAAATCTTGTATAATTGAAACCCTGTCTGACATAGAAATTAGCGTAATTACTTTGCCCGCTACTTTTAGTATGGCAAAGGTTACCTATCGTAATCCCACTGAAGATCCATCATGCTGACCACGATTTTTACGACCAGCTGTTTGGCCGCTCGATTCCAAATCCAGGGAAAATCTCACAATAGGATCCAGCCCCCTGCCGCGCCCAGCGTAACTCACAAAAAGAATTTACCATACCTATTGAGAGTCACTTTCGCCATTAGCATGTCAATAACCCCTCCTTAAAGACAAGACCCGAAGTAAAACTTCAATCTTGGGAATTTAGAATACCTTAACCTCCCCTTTCCACGGCTTTTTGGACAGTTTGTTTATGCATTCTCATTTTTTCTCAGAAAGTGGAATAATTAAAAAAAATAAGCATAATATTGGACGACCAGCCTTTGGGATAAAATATTTTAGTCAAGGGAGCTCACAGTTCCGAAGTTGTTGGTCAGTCAATTGAGCGTAATCTTCTGATACACAAAGAAACCATTTTGAGAGAAAAGCTGTTTAAGATGTGTCTGAGATACTAAGGCCTCGGACATACCTCGCGCGATTTCGGTCGCGGCGCGATTTGGCAAAACTCCAATGTTCATAACTCATCATACGGGGTTTCTCAATGTACGGAAGATGGGGCATTTTATCAACTTACGAAAGTTGTACATGCTGTGCATTTGGGGTCTACCAGTATTAAATTTGAAAACATCTGGCAAATTGCCAGATCGCGTGGCGACTGAAATCGCGTGAAGTATGTCCTTTGCCTAAAGAAACACCGTAGATACAATTGAGAAACGTAGGCGTGAGTCTTTTTCCGGGAAAACTGAAAAGGACTGAAGGTTTTATTTCTTGACTGTTCGCAGGATGCTCCAGTGAAGTAAAGTTGTCGGAACCTGTTGTGGTTGGCATACGGCCAAATTCCATGGGTGCAGCTTTGCGAGACAGACATACATATTACGTCACGGAATTTGATCTTGGCTACAGTATGCTTGTGGTAAGTTCTTTTGCAAGTTATCTTACAAGTCCTATTATTTAAACGTACAAAATTTGGACGATGTGCAAAAAAAGCCTGAATGAACAGCTACTATTACTTGCGTCTTTCCATGAAAGATAAATTCCTCAGATTATAATGTAAAAAAAAGCTTACTAGTGATTTTGCGTTTGATGCACCAGACTTCCAATTCCAGTTCCCCAGTGCTCGTTCGCTTAATCATTCGGAACCGAAGTCAATAATTACATTACCGTATCCGTTCCATGGCACTGATAATACGGTATTTAATGGCACGGCATATTATAACTACAACGATATGCTTATAGCATACAACGTAAAGACCGGAGATACCAAGGAACTGCAACTGAATATCAGCACGGTAAGTACTGCCGCTTGCATCTTGACAATTTTTGAAATATTTTCGAGACAACAATGTTAAGGATATGCTTTACAATAATTCGAACTCTCGAATGGATGTGCAAGCAGACGAACACGGAATCTGGATGTTATATCGTCGGAAAGGAGAGGATTACCTAACAGCAAGCCGTATACAACCGTTCAGCTTGAAGGTGAGTCAAAAAGTTGATGTCGCACGATATCACGCACAGCCGCCGGCACTCGCTTGATGTCGCTCATTGCTCAACATCGCTCATTATCACCACCCCTTTCACAATCACTTCTGCAGGTTTTGTCCAGCTGGTCCCTACCAGCAGTGCTTCCGTCACGATTTTGCAACGCAATCGTACGGTGTGGGTTGCTGTACACCGTGGAATGTGACGTCGACAATGTGACTGTGTCCGCAATCTACGATTTCTACGCTCACATGTATGTGAATGGCAAGCATACAGTATGGAAAGGTCAGTTTTTATCTGATAGTGTGGCTCCGAGGAGGTAAAAGTAAAAGCTATGCCTCAAAATTCAAATTTTCAAAAACTGTCGGCTTATCGGAACTATTTCTGCTTAGGCGAAAAAGTTGCATAGAAATTCAGGAAAGGATAAACCTACCATTAACAAGAGTTAAACAATTACATAAACCGTGGGAATTTTTGGTGGTCGTAGAGGATTACTGTAACTGAGATAATTTTAGATTTGACTTCTGTGTCAAGCGTTCAATACGATCCAAACTCGAAGAGCATCACAATTTTTGACAATGGGACTATATACAGCATATCGGCGTCATGACAAGTCCGTAATCACACAACGGTGTACAACAACATCTGCGTAGTCTGAACTTGCGTTCAAATTTGCAATTTTGATCAATTTTGTCTAAAAAAAACTCCACGAGCACATGGTATACAAGATTTTCAAGTCTGTAGCGATGTGGTCCGTGATTACGGAACATTAGCAAGTGTGTACTGATTTTATCTATAAGTAGTCTGCTTATCTACATTGAGATCTCTTCAATTTCTCTACCTATATTTTATTATAGTAGATAATCATCTAAAATTGAAAATCCATTTTTGCATTTCCAATATATAACGTATTTTCCTGTTTTGCCGCATGTTTATCTGCATTTATCTTTTCCCTCTTCCATCTCTAATGCTGGTTCGGTAATTGTTGTTTTGGATTGATCCACATATGGTTGTTGCAAGTTACCCCAATAAAGTTTTTTGAGTTATCGATTTCTTTGTTGTTCGATTACGTCGTTACTTTTTATGGATTATCGTTTAATACCATGATCGGGACTAGTTTGCAGCATAGTGGTTCATAACCAGTGCGACCGAGCATCCTGTATTATTGCGTATGTGCAGCTTCTATCCGCAGATCATATCGATTTTATCGATCCTATTGATTAATGGAGATGCACAAGTACGATTTGAAGATTATCAATGTGGAACAGACGTGGCGTCGAGATTCTCGTCCTATTTGGTGACGTCACAGTGCGATCAGGCCGGCAGTAAGTGGCTTCAAAATCACAGTATGAAGGAACAAATGTTTTATACCCCTTCATATTGCGCTATATTATGTAATCTAGAGTGGACCATTTGAGTATGAAAAAGCAAAAGAGCAGGTGTTAACTGTTAGGTCAGTCAGCTTTAGTTTGCATTGATGGCCGTAGCTTTGAACGTATAAGATCCCTAGATGGAAGCACAAGTTTTGTCACTGTTTTGAGCCAGTCCCGAAAAAGCGTAAATATTTTCAAAAGTCTAATAAGGAGTAAAAAAGGTGTAATGTTACCTGAATATCCGAAGTACATGCTTCATGTGAAATCCAATTTTTTAAAAGAATTTTTTTTATTATCAGGTTGTCCCATAAGTTCCGTCCGTTTTTTTCAATCGCAATAAATCATAAACTTCTTGTTTTTAGATAGGTTTCAAGGTACCTTTCGATAGAGCAAAGCAAGTTCTATAAGATGGCTCTCTCGCTTTTGCACCAGCTCTAATCCATCTCGAGTTTCACGGCAAAATTCAAAAGATTCAACTGCCCGAAAAATCGAGAAAAAATCATAACTCCGTTCAAAAAAATCCAACAAAAATTCCAACTTACTCGCGTAAACACTATCTTTAAGACATACATCTAAATACGCTGTTGCCGTATTTTTTCCATGGTTAGAAAGTGAGAAAACGATGATTTTGATGTTTTTGCGAAAGCGATGCTGTGCTGTTCCTACATAGATAGTTGTATACTACTAGCCTGTAGAAGTACAAGTGTAGCTTTTCAGCTCCCTACAAGCTTTGGTTCTCGAATTATCGAATACAGCTTGCCTTAGTTGGGTGTCTTACGCTAAAATCCATATTTCTTAAGAACTAGTGCCTATAGAGAGCTGAAAATTTACATTTGCACTTCTACGGGCTAGTAGTATACATCTACATATGGAGGGAGCAAAAACATGAAAATTTTCGTGTTCTCAATTTTTAACCATGGAAAAATACGGCAGTAGCGTACTTAAATGTCTTAAATAGATAGTGTTCACGCGAGTAAGTTGGAATTTTTGTTGGATTTTTTTTTGAACGGAGTTATGATTTTTTTCTCGATTTTTCGGGCAGTTGAATCTTTTGAATTTTGACGTGAAACTCGAGATGGATTAGAGCTGGTGCAAAGGCGAGATAGCCATCTCATAGAACTTGCTTTGCTCTATCGAAAGGTACCTTGAAACCTATTTAGAAACAAGAAGTTTATGATTTATTGCGATTGAAAATTAAAACGGACGGAACTTATGGGACAACCTGATACTTATTTTTTTGATTTATTTATTTTTCTATTTTTTGATTCAGGATTTTTTCAAGAAGTCAAACTGGTACTTTAAAGTTTTCCAACTTGACTGCCAGCCAAAATTTATAGTGATTTTTCTTTTCAGTGAAACCTAATTTTTTCATAAAGTGAGTTGGTAAAAGGTCAGCTTTTTCTACAAAAGCTTAGCTTTCCTTCACTTCCAGGTCATTGTGGCTGAGCTTAGAAATCTACAATGCAAAATTTTATTCAAACTCGAGTTATGGTACGACCAGTGGCGGATCGAGGGGGGGGGGGGTGCATACTGGTCGCGAATTTTTCGCAAGTTACTAACGTGCTTAAAAAATGTGCGAGAGACTTGTTTATACTTAAGAAAAATCAAAATAATTTTTGAAGTTTTCTAAAAAACTAGCTTTGTAAAAAAATTCTGTGGATTTTTGGGCCCTCGAAAATAGTCATACACCTATACTCGAAAAATTTTTTGTCCCCCCCCCCCCTCGAACGGAAAATCCCGGACCGCCACTGGATACGATACAAAGAGAAAAAAAGAGATACAGAAGTTCTTTTTTTGTGTTTTTAGCTGGGTATTATGATGATGTCTAAAAGTGTGCGAATTTTAGCAAGGCTTGAATATGTTTATTCCAAATGCAAGCTCTCCAGACTATGTAGGTAAACAGTTCCTGGGACCCATTCAGGAAAATGTGTTAGTTAAAGTGTACTGTCAGTTCTGGCAAGGACATCAAACACTACATGCAGTTCATTTCATATACAACCTGCTTTTCTCAAGAAAAAGTTTACATCACTTCTAAGCTTATTCCTTAGTGATCAAAAGACGCAAAGAAAACTTCATCAATTGTTATTATTTCAGTCAACCTCTGCTGCCTGCGACACGATAAAAGTTACGAAGCCTGTGTCGTTCCTCAAGTTTATTGTGACATGGAATTTTGTCAATGTATATTTGCTCTGAATGCGAATTTGTACTGTAGAAATATTGTTTATGCAACACATTGTAACTTGGTGCAATGGCTAGGAGATAAGCACATTTGCCCTGCTATGGCTCAACCGCTCTTTGGATGATTTGCAAATGATACATGTATCAGTTATACGGGTTTATCAAAAATTGTGCCTATGCGAACTTGTCTCCATGAATTGCACAGAAGTCTACCTCTTTCCTTTGTGAATGATAAAAGTATGCATTTCATAAATAAGTAATTTATTCCTAGTTAGAGATTTTGCTGCAAAATTTTTTTTGCTATTTTAGGACTTGTTGATCATCGTACGATCATTTTTTCGTGGGAAGAGACAGTTTAGGGCATTTATTTGACCCAACAAATAAACAATAAGCAAAGAATTACTGTTAATCCCATTGGCAGGTGTCGCGCAGATTTTCTTCACTATGCTCGGGTGCATCACCAATGGTGGACCCTTGTTATAGGTTGTCCCGAAAGTTTTGTCGTTTTTTTCATCGGTCACTAAAACTGAGCAGGTAGTAACGCTAAATCTTCCTAGAATTTCAAAAAAACCTTATACTAATAATTTCGCTGGTAGCTATTATGTAAACTGAACCTTCGTCTACATAATACTTCAGATTACATGAGTCACATTCACCTCTGTAATGATTGTTTATTTGAGAAAAACTACGACTTTTTGATCACCTTTAGCTCATGGAAGTACCGAAAATTCCAAAAAGCTGTTACTTCAAAGCAAATCGAACTTGGTTGAGTTGCACAAATAGCGTTTAGTAATAACCAGGTTTCAACTCTCAGAAACCTTGGAACCTTTCATGTTTTCGCTGCAATTGTGAGTTTCATGGCTTTACCAAAAATCGAGACCTCCGAAAAATTAATTTTTTCAAAGCTGAACTGGCTGGTCAGGAGACTGCTCTATTTGAGACGTACTTGATTTTTCTCTGAAACTTTGAAATACGATTTTCAAAAATTAGCCGAACTTTGAGCAGAAATGACGGGTGAAGAATTTTGGCAATTATCAGAAAGCTTATAAAGACTATGCTTCGTAAATGTAGTCATAAGAACGGGAAGGAAAAGCTATATCGACTGCACTTTGAAATCCATTCAAGTCTTTATTGTACCTGATTTTATAGTCATTTAGAAACCAGCAAACTGCCGGTACAACCTAATCTAATTCTATCTATTAATAGTCGTCCTCACTCCACTAGTCGGTCGGTGGTCGAATTTGAATTCGAACTGGAGCAGGCTGACCGCGGCAGAGCGCGGCAAACGCCGCCCCTCAGCCAACCGCTTGCACGAGCTTTTTTCTTATTTTCTTCGTGTTTCTTTGCTATCTTTCGTATTGCGGCAATGCTCTTAATCAGACTTTCAGATTTCTACGGCTAACTCTTTGAAACAAACGCTTTTTGAAAGAATTTCAGCCTTACCGCAAAAAAGTCTAGAGTATATATTCTAACGAAAACTTGACATTTCATTAAATCACAATTGTGTATTGTCACTTACCGGAAAAAAGAGATTTCTCATACAAAAATCTCCAATCGCATCCTTCTTCCCGGTTTGCAAAAAAATGTAAAACAAACGAGCACAACTGCACAAAACAACAGCTAGCGGTGCGAAATCTAAAGATCTGATAAAGAACATTGCCGCAATACGAAAGATAGCAAAGAAACACGAAGAAAATAAGAGAGAAGCCCACGTGCAAGCGGTTGTCTGAGGGGCGGTCTGCCGCGCTCTGCCGCGCCAGTCTTCCTGTTCGAATTCAAATTCGACCACCGACCGACTAGTGGGGTGAGGACGACTATATCTGATCTGTCTATCTAATCTAATATACAAAGAATCGTAAGCGCAATTCAAAAATGTGCAAACCGTGTGGCGGTCCCGAAGCGAGCGCTCCTCCAAATAGCACTTTTAGATTACTGGTCCACTAGTCTAGTATATGAAGAAACGTAAGCGCAATTCAAAAATCTGATAGCGGGAAACCGCGTGGCGTTCCCCCAGCGAACGCGGCAAATCTGACACCTCTAGAAAGATGTGAAATGAATGTATCATTAAGAGTAAATCAAAATCTTCTAAACTCAGCGCCTTCTTCTTCAGTAATTTCGCTTCTTTTTTGGTTGTTCTTAAACATATTACTCTTTTTACATATATTTACATTCGTTCGGTGGAATGTTACATGTGTCGGGGTTTTTCTAAAGAACATCAGTCACCTGCTTTCTGAAGAGGTTTGAAATCCACAGAATGTTCATTTTGTACTAACTCTAATTACGAATTTCGCTTCAATTTCATGTAGTTTCCGAAAAGTGTAATATGATCGGCTAGAACCTGCTGTATAGTGCTCTCCTAGCCATAGTTGCGATAGGGGGAGTGATGGATCTTACCCCCTTCACTTTGAGGCCAAACTTCCGATGACCCCCTTCACCTGGGCTGAGATTGGTATCGTACTCTGAGAATATGATAAAAATCGTTATGAAAAGCAGGCTAAGTACCTCAAACAACAAGTACACTCATAAATTCACTAAAGAAACGGTATTTATGTTTATTTACATTATTTATTTATCCTCGTAGCATTTTGGAGAGAAGAAAGTAAGTACACAAAATCAGTTAATTTTTGAAGCACATGAAATCCCTCATATCTCGCGAAACAGAAGACCTAGAAAAACGTCGACGGTCTATGTCGATTCTCCATGATCTCAGCTTTCGAATGGTATACAGCATGATAGGGCTTCTTTGCTTCACGGCTCTAAAAATCATTTTCTCCGGTAACCGATAAAAGCCAATACATTGGTGGAGCCGGATTGGAGCAAGCTAATAGTAAATATCTCCACCCCATTTTTGAAAACTGGTCCGTTTTTTCGCCCAGCAACCTATATACCATTCGAAAGCTCAGGAAAAGGGGATTCGACCTAGACCGTCGACTTCTTTCTAGCCCCCCTCTACCGAGAGATACACCGCATTTTATCTGAAAACATGGTCATTTTCAACAGCAGTTTTCTGCCAAATGAAGACCTAATCACTGCTGCTTATCTATCTGTGTTAAAGAGCAAGTCTTCATTAACAAACGTAGACCGTCGACTTTCTCGTAGCATTCATTTGGAGAGCAGAAAGTGAGGACACAAAATCAGTTAATTTTTGAAGCACATAAAATCCCTCATATCTCGCGGCACAGAAGACCTAGAAAAAAGTCGACGGCCTACGTCGATTCTCCATGATCTCAGCTTTCGAATGGTATACAGCATGATAGGGCTTCTTTGCTTCCCGGCTCTAAAAATCATTTTCTCCGGTAACCGATAAAAGCCAATACATTGGTGGAGCCGGATTGGAGCAAGCTAATAGTAAATATCTCCACCCCATTTTTGAAAACTGGTCCGTTTTTTCGCCCAGCAACCTATATACCATTCGAAAGCTCAGGAAAAGGGGATTCGACCTAGACCGTCGACTTCTTTCTAGCCCCCCTCTACCGAGAGATACACCGCATTTTATCTGAAAACATGGTCATTTTCAACAGCAGTTTTCTGCCAAATGAAGACCTAATCACTGCTGCTTATCTATCTGTGTTAAAGAGCAAGTCTTCATTAACAAACGTAGACCGTCGACTTTCTCGTAGCATTCATTTGGAGAGCAGAAAGTGAGGACACAAAATCAGTTAATTTTTGAAGCACATAAAATCCCTCATATCTCGCGGCACAGAAGACCTAGAAAAAAGTCGACGGCCTACGTCGATTCTCCATGATCTCAGCTTTCGAATGGTATACAGCATGATAGGGCTTCTTTGCTTCCCGGCTCTAAAAATCATTTTCTCCGGTAACCGATAAAAGCCAATACATTGGTGGAGCCGGATTGGAGCAAGCTAATAGTAAATATCTCCACCCCATTTTTGAAAACTGGTCCGTTTTTTCGCCCAGCAACCTATATACCATTCGAAAGCTCAGGAAAAGGGGATTCGACCTAGACCGTCGACTTCTTTCTAGCCCCCCTCTACCGAGAGATACACCGCATTTTATCTGAAAACATGGTCATTTTCAACAGCAGTTTTCTGCCAAATGAAGACCTAATCACTGCTGCTTATCTATCTGTGTTAAAGAGCAAGTCTTCATTAACAAACGTAGACCGTCGACTTTCTCGTAGCATTCATTTGGAGAGCAGAAAGTGAGGACACAAAATCAGTTAATTTTTGAAGCACATAAAATCCCTCATATCTCGCGGCACAGAAGACCTAGAAAAAAGTCGACGGTCTACGTCGATTCTCCATGATCTCAGCTTTCGAATGGTATACAGCATGTTAGGGCTTCTTTGCTTCTCGGCTCTAAAAATCATTTGCTCCGGTAACCCATAAAAGCCAACATATTGTATAGGTCGTCCCGAAAGTTTTTGAGCACAACTTTCAAAAATTCATAACTTCTGATTTTTTCAACCGATTCGACTGCTTTCACTTTTATGTGAAAGGGTAAGTCATGCTCTTTATAAAGACATCCCAGCTGCTTAGCAATGGTCATTTGTTGCATAGATAGAAGCTCAAAACAAAATCACTCAAAATTTGAATTTTTGTGTAGGGTCATAAAAAATCAGAAACTTGCAACAAAATCGGAGCAGTCGGTATTTTAGGTTCTTTCACCAACTCTTTCTAACAGTGCAAAGTTTGCTCCGATTGAGCGTCTCCATGAAAGTTATAATTTCCGAGCAAGCAGTACAAAAAGGCGAATTTGATTTATTTTGGCATTCTTCAGGGAAATCATAACTTTTCATGGAGACGCTCAATCGGCGCAAACTTTGCACTGTTAGAAAGAGCTGGTGAAAGAACCTACAGTACTGACTGCTCCGATTTTTGTTGCAAGTCTCCGATTTTTTATGACCCTACACAGAAAATTAAAATTTTTACCATTTTTCTTCTATCGCTCCTATCTATGCAACAGATGACCATTACTAAGCAGCTGAGATGTCGTTATAAAGAGCATGGCTTACCCTTTCACATAAAAGTGAAAGCAGTCAAATCGGTTGGAAAAATCAGAAGTTATGAATTTTGAAATTCGTGTGCAAAAACTTTCTGGACGACCTAATAAGAGCGAGGTGGAGCAAGTTAATAGTAAAAAATGTGCTGTGGATTGACATCGT